TGCTTCTGACTCACCCTCGCAGAACTTGTAAGTTTTCTTTAAAAATAAATCACAAAACCCCAGAAATCCCTCACCTCTGTGATTCTTGTTTTACCAAGAGCTGAAAGATCTGATTCTGAGCTCACAAGTATTACATAGATGTGTTTTTTAATCTGTTAAGAAAACACAGTAACACTTTGTTCCAGCCACTTTGGTTCAGACTCAGCTTTTTGTGTGTAAGGATTTGCAGGAGGGTCAGCATGTAAACACTGCTCTTCATTTGTGGCCTTAAACTTCAGGAATTCCTTAGTGAGTCTCCTCCAAATTTAGTCCCAGTTTATTCTAGCCATTGTTTTTTGTAAATCTTTTTGCTTGGCTGTTGTTTTTTGTTAATGCTATCTCCAGCCATTATCAAGAAGAAAATATTTGAAGCTCGGTGCTTCAGGGGTTGAAATAAATTCCTCACAGCAGGCCTTCAAGATAGAGTCACAGTGTGCAAACTACCCCTGCAACTATCTGCTCTGGGCTTCTTGAACCTGCCTCAGAAGGCCCCACTGTTCTTAGTAGTAGGCTGGCACGGTGGAGAGTTTCTGCCTAGCGGTGACTCTTGCCTTGAGGATATATGTACTGAAACTAGGGTGTCCCAGCCTCGCTCTTTCTCATCTCTGCTAACATTCATGAAACACTAATTGACTTGGGTTTAGTGTTTTGAACCATTGAGCATAGCAAGTCTTGATTCCAAAGAGAAATCAAAACAGGTTTTGTAAGAGCACTTGGATGGTGACCAACTCTTTCTTCTAGAGCTCACTGTTTATGTTGGGGAAAGGTAAGGGGGGTTTCAGCCACATCCTGCTACCAAGTTTGGTAGAGAAACAAGTAGTTGAAAGAGGCCTGGTAGGTACGGAAGGAAATGCAGCACTGCTTTTCTCTCACATCACAGCAATATTCTGGCTCGTGCTTTCGGGGGATATTTTTAGAGTATGTGTTTCTCATACCCTAGAAAGATTCCAGCGTGGCATTTGATGTGTGGTGATTTGCCTTTTCATTCTGCATTTCTGGCATGATTTTAGGGGAAGGGGCGAAAAAAAAAAAAAAAACCAAAAACCACCACACAAACACCCCCCTGCCAACAAAAAACACCCAAAACCCTAAATTTCAAGATAGTCTGTAATGAGAAGGCAGACAGCTAACTGCCTTTGTTATGGACAACTTTTGTGGCCTTAATACTTAAAATAAATAAATGTAAAAAAAGTCCTTTTGGGAAGGAAAAAAATATATTAGAGGGAAACATTGATGTTGTATTGTTTGTTGGTATTCTGAGATCTGTAGCATTTCTGAAAACATTTTGTGAATCTACTTCCTTCATTAATAGAGATGTGGATCAGTTGGGAATGGAAATAGGAAGGATGGCATTTGTGATGAACATTAATCTATGTACAATTCAGCCCCTCCCTCACTGTTAAATATCAGGGAGTTATACTGAAAAACTACCTCTGGCACTTGAGCTGTCTGGCACAGAACCAAAGCACTTAAAGCTTCAGTAAGAAGATACAATATTTGCATGAGTATTGTTTCTGTTGTGCTGCAGGCATGTAAAATGCTTGCTTTAGTATCAGGTGGCTGCAAGCAGACTTCATTACTTCTAATACTGATACATTTTATCACTTAAAATAAAACTTGATGAGTAACCGATTTTTCTTTTTTGCTTTATACAGTCCAGATCTTCAAGTACAATCAAATCATGATACTCACAAACACCAATGTTGCTTGCTTTGCACATAAAATCCTCTGAAAGCAGGAGAAAGCTCTCTGTGTTCACTCTGTGAGGATTTGAGACAATCTTACCTATGAGGAGATAACGAGACTGCCCTTGCCCTCTGCGGAGGGAGGGATAGCTGGAGAACAGGAAAGGCAACTGGTCCCTCTGCAACATCTTTGTGTATGTACCCTCTTCTTTCCAAAGAGGGATTCTGGTGGTATCAGGACAAAAAATAAAACCAAACCCAACAGCATCCTGTATTGCAGGTCCTTGCGGTATTTTTTATCAATGGCTGACAGGCACAACTGACCGGATAGACACTCCTGTCTTCTCTGTCTCTCTCAACAGCAAGTTTGTCAGAAGCTTTGCTGCTACTTTGCAACTGCTGGCAGGTTGATAAGGTCCAACTGGAAGTCTTTACCCACAGAATTTTGTGACTGTGAGCACTTGATTCACTTCAGCTCAGTTTTTGTGAGGGAAACTTCTGGTGTCTTATATGTGTAATGCAAACTTACTCCTAGTAAGCTGGTTCAGTGGAGCTCTCTCAGATGAATGAATTGCCGGGGAAATACAGCAGGGATTCCCCTGCTAACATCTGGGTGTTCACTGAAGTATCTCAAAAGCTTGCTTCTACTCTCATGTTCTGCCCCTACCAACCGTAAGAATCAAGCAGTTGCTTTTGAAAATCGAGATGCTTCCTAGGTGTTAAATGAGTGTTTTTCCTGGGCTGTGAAAATTTTACCTTGGGACATTGACTTCTTCAGAAATGTCATCTCCTGTAGAATTTGTTGCTAAAAAGTTAATTCTATAGAAATCAAATCTTCCCTTCCTGTCCTGTTATACCTAATTGTCTTAGGCTACATGTTTCTAAGGAACTAACCTCTAATGGTTAGGCTGTTAGTGGCAATAATACAGAGGCCTGAAAACCTATTAAGAAAAGAAATTTAGGTGGATCTTTTTTTGCATTTAGGAAAGGAAAGAAACATCAAGCAGCTTCTTCCTATCTGATTTGGATGCTTTCATTTTAACCTTTATAAGATTCGTAGAAGTCTGACTAGCAACGAATGAATATGTAGATCTGGTATCATAACTGTCAGCCTAGTTTTGGATTATCCAGCTTGTTAACACACAAATTTAGGTAACTTTTACAACATGCTGTACTGGTGCTTCTTCCTGTGGTGTTTTCCCACTGTGAAGATGATGCAGTTCGGGACCCAGCTTTAAGCTGGGAGATGTAAAAACCAGATATCGTGTAATAAATTGTCTTGAAGTAACTGTTCAGTCCAACAAATACGCTGCAAATCAAGACATTTGTCAAGTGCTTTCCTGTTACAGATGATAATCAACTGTTTTGTGGTTAATGTAAGACTTGCCATTCTTTGTCTGGCATTTGCCACACAGCTAACTCATACTCAGTCTTAGTTTTCATATAAATACAGTTTGTACCATAATTTTGAAAATTAGTTTAGGCAACTGTGTCTGCTGGAGCTAGCAGAGACCCCAGTACCATCGGGGTGCTTGTGGAGGAGTACATTTCCCTTTTTCTCTGACTCAAGGTGAGGAGGGGCCTTGGTTCTACAGAGCAGTGCTAATTCTGACTATTTCTCTTCTCTTTTTCATGAATGTCTGTAAACACACTTGTATTTCAGCAGACTGAGTGTCAGCAATAAGGAAGGGCAAATAAAACCGAGTGAATGGAGTTCACTGCTAGCTATATTTAGTACCTTGCAAAGGTGTTAATGCTCACTTACAGATACTTTTCAAACCAAAGCATTGAAGTGTTTAACCAAAACTTGTGCTAGACCATTGAAGTGAATTCACTGGTGCTTGGAGCTGTGCTGTTGGCCAGATTTTCTAGAGAGAAAGAGAAAAGATGAGTATCTGAGAAGATTGAAATGTTGTGAGTCCAGCCTTAAGCAAGTTTCTTCTGACTGAATCCATCCATCTCGGATGAGTGCTCCTTCATTGTGCAATAGCAGGGCCTCTTGCACTCACAGACCAACATCTCATTTATCCTCTGCCTTCATTTATGTGAAGTGCTCCCTGCGCAGACCTGAGCACCATAATTTGTTAGAACTCAGCCAGCGAAAATGTTTTGGATTGGCACTCTTGAGTAGAAATGCATTTGTAAGGTTTCGTCCCTCCTCTTTGCTTAACCCACATACTTGATCTGTTTCTTGAGAAACATAAAGTCCTGAGTTGACATGCTGTCCTAAAGCTCGGGTTTGCATCTGGCCTTAAGATTTTTCCAAATAAGACTCTTGAAATCTTTTCCAGCTGTGTTCTCCGTGTTGTATCCCCAGTGATGCAAGAACTGCCTTGGAGAGGGTGCCCTGGGCTTTGGGATCCCTCTTTTTGGGTATTTCGGCTTAGAAATCATTGCCTTTGCAAGTTCCACAGGCACTCTCACTCTACTGCATCACTGTTGTCCTCCTCCAGGTCTTGAGTGTTTATAGTATCACCAGCTGCACTGTTGGCCAGGAAGGGAAGCTTCCTTTTATGTGGGTATTCCTGATTTTTGTGCGGCTGCTGTTGCTGGGTTGAGGTTTTTTTCTTTTACCCTTGTGGTATAATATTCACCCTGAGAGGGGAAACATCTTGAATACAGGACGTTGTGTTTCATGGGTGTTGAGCGCAGTGTTGCTTTCAGGTTCATCTTTACCAATAAGCCTGGTACTGACTTAAGAAACTCTTTCCTCTGCCTGTGTTGCACACATTGCTACTGCTTGCAAGCTTAAATTGCGAGAGCACTGAAAGGCCACAGTGAGCTCCAGCTCTGTTGGACTAAGAGGTACTGATTGCATCTGTGATAAATTGCAGGTAGCCTTAAAGACTTTGCAATCTGAAAGGCAGAGGCAAAGTGAGCAACTTGGGACTGGGATGCAAAGAAACGATGCTGCAGATTTACTGAGATGATGACAGCTGGCCAGTTACTTTCCTTCAGACTTGTCCCACTTAAAGTGAGAGAGATGTGTGTACAGGATAATGAGAGTACAAACCTTAAGGTTTGTAAACTGAGTCTTTATCTTTGCCACATTTTATCCACTGCTTTAAAAAAGGTAGGCTGTAGGCAGAGGTTGGCTGGCACCCTGAATAAGGGCAGGCAGAAGGGGTACTGCAGT